TTACAATAACCAAGAGTTAGGAACAATCTAAACATCCAGTAATGGCCGGGTGTGGTGGCACATGCCTGTAATCCCAGCACTGTAATGCCAGCACTCAGGAGGCTGAGGCAAGAGGATCATTTCGAGACCAGCCTGGGCTACAAAGTGAGCTCAGTGCCAGCCTGAGCAGCACAGCGAGACCTTGCCTCGTAAAGACAGAAAAGGGGCTGGGGATTTAGCTCAGCGGCACAGCATCTGCCTGGCAAGCGCAAGGTCGTAAGTTTGATTCCCGGTACTGGAAAAAAACAAAAACAAAACAAAACAAAACAAAAAACCCCATAAAGACAAAAAAAAAAAAGTATAAATATCCAGTGATGGATGAGTGGATAAACAAAACGTGATATACCCATACAATGGGATAATCTTCAGTCTTAAACAGTAGGAAGGGCCGGGGATATAGCTCAGTGGCACAAGCGCCCACCTGGCAAGTGCAAGGTCCTGAGTTAGATTTCCGGTACCCCCAAAAAAATAAACAGTAGGAAATCCTGCTACATGCTACACCATGGATGAACTATAAGAACATGATGTAAGGGAAATAAGCCAGCCACAAAAAACCAAAGTATGATTGTACCAAAAAACCAAGTATGATTGCACTTGTGAGGGAAGTAGTCTGTCCACAGAGACAAAGTAGCATGGTAGTTGCTAGGTGCTGTGGTTGGAATGTGTCCCACCAAAGTTCATGTGTTGGAATCTCAATTTTCAAGCTCACAGGTGAGTGGGTTTTGGAGGCAGCGCCTTTCTGAGCTAATTAGGATGCATGAGGTGATCAGGGTGGGGCCCCTCTGATGGGATCAGTAGTTTTATAAGAGGAAGAGAAACCCTTGCTAGCAGCTTGGTCTATATCACCATGTGATGCCCTTTGCATCTCCGGATGCAGGAAAAAGGCCCACACCAGAGCCAGAGCCATGCTCTTCTCTTCTGACTTCTCAACCTCCAGAATCATGAGCTAAATAAATTTCTACTCTTTAGAAGTGGCCCAGTGTGTGGCATTCAGCTATTGCAATAGAAAATAGACTGAGAGGGGCCAGGGATATAGCTCAGAGGCACGAGCACCTTCCTGGCAAGCACTAGGTCCTGAGTTTGATTCCTGGTACCCCCCCACACACACAAAAAGTCAAATCTTGGTAAAAAATAAATAAATAAATGGTACTAAAAATGGGCTAAGACATCAGGGAGATGGAGGATAGAAAGGGGAGCTGTGGTTTAATGAATATAAAATTTCAGTTTCCGGATATTGGTTGCATAACAATATGGGTATACCATACTTAACACTACTGAATTACAAAAATATTAAGATCTGCTCTGAGAAAGAAATATTGATGCTGCAGGCAGAGTCTGTGAAAACAACAAAAGCAAACATTGGCATACAATGTGTGTGAGTCAGTTTTTAGCAAGGCAATGACTGGAATTCCAGAAAAAAATGATACCCACAGTTCTGATAACATGTGGGGGAACAGTTTTGCAGATTGTAGAGACTGGAAACAAGTGATCTCTCATTACTAGGGGTTAACATGTTTAAAAGACACTCCAGCTATGATATGTTTGATTAATGGAATTATCTCTTATTAAGACAAGCAATACTAAATGCTTCTCAACTATTTGAGTCACAAAGACTATTTATAGTTTAGGAGTCAGAATTTGCTAAGTGCCCCCTATTATTATGTTATCCTTCTTTTATTCTTTAAAATAAAAAAAAAAATTATAGTTTAGGAGTCAGTTAAAGGGCCAGAGATGTAGCTCAGCAGGACAGTGCCTGCCTGACAAGTGCAAGGTTGTGAGTTCGATTCCTAGTACCAAAAAAAGAAAAAGTCATTTAAGGACCAGGCATGGTGGTACACACCTATGATCCCAGCACTAGGGAGGCTGAGTCAGGATGATCACTGTGAAATCAAGGCCAGCCTGGGGTACATAGTGAATTCAGGACCAGCCTGAACTACATAGTGAGATCCTGTCTCAAAAAACAAAATAAAACACATCAGTTAAGGACATCAGGGAGCACACCCCATGGTGTGGCTACATCCTTAACCCCAGGTTCTCTGGCTCCTCCAATCCAACAGGTGGTGGATTCTTCCGCTGTTTTTCTAACTTAGTTCCAAGTCATCTTTTTAAAATTTTTGCTTCAGTGTCTTGAGCATCTTGATGCCAATCTATGAAAATTAAATTCCTGCCTGTTTGTGAGTGGTGGACAACATGCAGATATATTTCCCAGCTTTTCAAGGAGTAGAATCTCAATAAACTTGCCACTGAGTGTGGTTCTGAACTCTCTGGGAAGGAATAGGGTGCAGCTATTAAGAAACTGGCTACTGAGGCTGGAGTAAGAGTCGTATGAATTTCACATACATTATGAGCAGTTGCCCTCCCCATTCTCTTTCTGGTCAATTACTATGGTGTGGATTTTCCTATACAGCAGCAACAAATAACCCCCACTTTGATAAAATAGAAGGAAAGCCATCTGTGTTCAGATTCCTTGGGATAAGAATCCCAAGGCTTTAGTCAAGCGGGCAGAAGGCCAGACAGGCTTTCCATGGATTGTGGCCATTGTGACTCAGCTTCCCCAAGAGGAAGAGGGGATGAAGGTACTTGCAGTATCACTTGCCTGAAATGCTGGACGCTGGATGTGGCTACCTCGTAGTTCCTTGTTCCAATAGTTTTTTCACTGCTGTTGCCCTGTTAGTTTGGATAGGAGAATGGATCCCAGTGGAGATTATGTCAGGCATCATTTGCCTGTCCTAGGAGGCTGCAAAATATACTTGTGATCCCCAGAATGCAACGGAAGGCATCAAAAAAGTAAACAAGTGTTGGATAGAAGTTAATTATCCCAAACCACGAGTGAACCAACAGCCTGAATATTGAAAGAATGAAATAGATCTGCCGGCTGCTCTCACCATACAGAGGGCTAGATCTTCTTGCATGAGCGCCTTCAAATCCTAATGGGAACGGAGGGCTCGTGGTGTGTGCTTGCGGAGAAGATATCCCAGGCAGCGGCAGCGGCAGCAGCAGCAGCAGCAGCAGCGGAAGTTGCTCTCAGGGGAGCAGTATGCAGTGTCTTACACTGTGCTCATGGAGACAGTCAGCGGCCTCACCTGTTGAAGCAAGGACAGAGTTCCGTAGGCTCCGGGCTCAGCAGTGGAAAGGGGCCCACTCAGGAGGACAAACAGAGCATCAGTCCTAAGGTCCAGCGGCAGAAGCTAACTGGAGAATCTTCAGAAGGAAGGACTGTTGCAGCTGAAACTGACAAGAGATTCAGTAGATTTCAGTCCAGTTATTTAGAAATGTTCTTCATTGGTTCTAATGACATTTCTGTTGTTTTGTGGCTTTTTAATAAATTTTACAAAGGACGAGTGGTAATTTGTACATGAAGAACTTGGTAAAAAAAAGTTTGCCCAATGTAAATATAGTCACAGTTAAAATAGACCCATCAATGTATTTTTTAATAATTTTTCATGTATGGCAGAAGTCTAAGTTGCAAAGTGATATTCTGATATAAAATTCAAACATTTTGAGAGTCAATATGGGAAAATAGGAGGTTTTCGACTTGCTTAAAAGTCTGTTAAAATCTGGGGGGAAATTTCCTTGACTTGACCTAACTTTGCACTCTGTCATAACAATGTTTTAGAAAATATGCATAATCAAAGCTGGGGTTGGTGGTGCATGCCTGTAATCCCAGTGCTTGGAAGGCTGAGGCAGGAAGAATTGCTGTGAGTTGAAGGCCAGCCTGGCTTACATAAGTGAGTTCAAGGCCAGACTGCACTATATAATAAGACCCTACCTTAAAAATATATGTATATATATTTTGACCCATGAAATGTGAAAATGAATGTGAAATGGAATCAGTGCTGGAAGAACCAAAGACTGATATGAGCTGAGACTGTCCCCAGTTCTTTGCAAGCCTCAAGCACAACTTTGTCACAGCAGAGTCAGAAGGAGCAGCCTTGAGCGCCACACCACTCCGTTAGCTCCGTCGCCATGGTCCCTGCCAGGAAAGAGGGCATCGGAGGTGACAGAACTCACTGGGTTTGTCAGCCAGGTCCCTCTTCTCCGCCTCAGTTACTAATTCAGGGGCTGCCTCAAACAGTGCCTTTTGATTTATCGAATCATCATCAAATGTAATACTTGTGCTGCCAAAGGAAATGCTGTCTGGTTCATTAAACACCTTCAGCAGGCATGTCCCGTCCATCAGAGAGTCCCCACTGCCTTTGGAGTTTGTCTGTCTCCATTTGTATGTGGTACACCAGGTTGTACCTGTCTGTCTGCAACTTGTGTGTAACCGTGTCTCTACTCTCTGTCTCTCTGTCTCTTTCGCTCTCTCTCCTTTCTCTCTCTCTCTCTGTCTCACTCTCTCTTTCTCCTCCTTCTCTCCTCCTCTCTCTTTCCCTCTCTCTGATTCTCTCCTATTTCTCTTGATGCCTCTCTCTTGTTTAGTTCATTCATTCATTCATTCATTCATTCAGTGTCACAAATATCCCTGGAGGCCCCTCAGGATACCCAAGCCTGATGAAGAAGAAGACAGACACCAGCCCAGACCACTCTGATCAGGGCTGGGAGACAGGGAAGTGTTTGAGGCTGAGGAGGGGTAGCTGAGTAGGGACAGTGGGATTGAAGAAGGCTGTGGGAAGGGACAGTGCGTGTGTCTGAGAGTCGGACACATGGCCCCAGGATGGGAAACTATGTCTGAGTGTCAGGGAGGTATGTGTTGGGGCGGGGGAAGAGAAATCAAGAGGCCAACCTCAGATTATAACAGATGCAGGGAGGAAGATAGGGAGAGACCAGCAAAACACAAATCCCATCAAAAGTAAAGGTTATGGGACCTTAACCCATCCTCAGGAGCTGAGCCCCCTCTTCTTTCAGACCCAGGACTCACCTGGGTCCCACGGAGATTACCTAAAAGGAAACCAGCCCACACAAAGGAGGGTGGAGTGAGGAATCCTGACCCAGCTGGATGGCCGGGATGTCCGAGGCTTAGCAGGGAGAACCAGCCAGACAGCAAGTCAGAGCCCAGGCAGCTGTCCTGGGTGGCACAGCTCGGCTCCAGGCTCGCCATGAGGGGTTCCAGGGACATTCTGCTCTCTCTCTTTGGAACGGTGCTGCTCTGCCTGACAGGTACCTAAAATTTGAGTCCAATTCTAAGAAGGGCCTGAGGGCCTGGACGCCCGGGTCTGAGGGAGGAGGGACCAGGGGCTCAGCCTCCTGGGTCTTGGTGAGGAAAGCACCTAGAAACTGCGCCTTCCCCACCGCACGCACGCAGCCCATCCCTCCCGTCTGTCATTCTCTCTGGCATCTGTCTTCCCGCACACAGCCAATTTGTGTGTCTGTGCACAACGGTGGGAGTTTGATTCCTGCATGTGTCTGTGCGTCCTCACGAGTCTCCTCGCTGGTGTGTGTTTCTCTGAACCAAATTTCAGTGTCCAGTTTTATGAAATTGCTTCAACAAATCTGTTTATCTCTCAACCTCATTTTCTCTACAAGAGCTGTGCTCATAAAGTTGCGTGTTTGTGTACCTCTGGTCTGGGGCGGGTCTGTACATATATGTTTATTTAATGTGTGCTTTCCTCTATGTGTACCTGCATTGCATGTCTCTATATATTTGTATCCATAAGTGGTTTTAAACTATATTTTTATGGTCTTATCTCCATGTAGCTCTAATCTGTGAGCTTGTGTTTCTTTCTTTTTGTTTGTTTTGGGTTTTTTTTGTTTTTTTTTTCCTCCGGTACCGGGGATCGAACTCACAACCTTGCGCTTGCTGGGCAGGCGCTGTGCAGCTGAGCTAAATCCCCAACGCCGGCATTGTGTTTCTTGAGTCTGCATTTCTCCCTGTCTCCATGTCTCACTACTTCTGCCTCGCTCCCTCCGGATGTGCTTCCCGGTCCCTCTGCATGTTGTCACTGTCACACACATCATCTTCCCTGGCCGCCTCCCGCGTGCTTGGCGCTGGGCGTCCACCCTGCAAGCCCAGTGATTATCTAGTGTGAGAACTCAAACCACCGCATGGCTGCGTCCTGCTGTGTATTTGCGACAGTAGCAGGAGCCGTGTCGGTTGTTAGTTTGGGCTGTCAGTGCAGTGTTTGGTGTGTGTGTGTGTGTGTGTGTGTGTGTGTGTGTGTGTGTGTGTTGCTGGGCTAATCGTGTATGATGTGGCCGGGCGTGCAGCTCCCTCTGCCCTTGGTTGCCGTGTGTCCCCTGTGTGAGTTTAATAAGGAAAGGGATGCACAGAGCCAGAGGGTGTGAATCACTTCCTTCTCCCTTATCTCCATCTCTGAGCGCTTCCTGGATGAGGGTGGGGATCTGGAAAGGTACAGAGGAAGAAATTGGACTGGCAGCTGCAGAACGTCCAAACCTGCTGCAGTAGCAGCGGACTCTATTCCCAGGGTGGACGGCCAGGCTCCAGCGCAGCAGAGAGCGCCGGCTGCCTAGCTGCAGGGGTGGGCGCGCGCCTGGGACGGGCTTCTCGCCTCACGAGCCCCTCCCCTAGGGTCCCGAGCCCTGCAGTGCTACAGCATGGAGCACATCTACTTCGGGCAGTTTGACCTCCGTGCCCTGCAGCTCCCCAACGTCTCCTGTTCCCGCGCATGCTCTGAGGTTGTCATGTCCCTGGACACTGGTGAGGGGTTGGGAGAGAGACGGAAAAGGAAAGAGGGGGAGGGGTGGAGATAAGGAATGAGGGAGGGAGAGGAGGGGACCAGGAGGAATGAGAAAGGGCGGGGTTTGGGTAGAAGTGGAAGGAAAGGGGGTGGGTGTGGTGGCACAGGCTTGTGATCTCAGCACTCTAGGAAGCTGAGGCAGGAAGATCCCAAGTTGGAGTCCAAACTGCAGACTTAGCAATTTAGAGAGACCCCCCGTCTCAAAATAAACAAAAATAAAGGGCTGGGAGGGCTGGGGATTTAGCTCAGAGGCAAAGCGCCTGCCTGGCAAGCGCAAGGTCGTGGGTTCGATTCCTGGTACTGGAAGAAAAGACAAAAAAATAAAGGGCTGGGGCTGTAGCTCAGTACGATGACCTCGTGTTCAGTCACTTGGGCCAAACAAACAAAGAGAGAAAGGGTAAGGCTGGGAGGAGGGCGAGCGGAAGGAGAAAGAAGTTACGGGTGGGAGCGTGGGGAAGGAGTAGAGGGCGGGAAAGAGGTTGGGGAGAGAGAGCAGAGGGAAGGGGGAGCGAGGTGGACCCAGCGGCGGAGCACAAGGCCCCTCCTCGTGCCGCCCAGGCTACCGCACCCCGCTGACCGTGGTGCAGAAGGGCTGCTGGGAGGGCCCGGTGACCGGCGATATGCACTCGCTTGAGAGATCGCTGCCGCCGGACTACACGGTAGTGCGTGGCTGCGAAGCTGACCTCTGCAACGCCAAACTCCAGACCCACGACAGCATCCCGGACCTGAGCCGAGGTGTGTGCGGGCGGCGGGGGCGTGACCTCCCTTGAGCACCTTCTCCCGCCTGAGCGGGCACTCCAGGCTCCCCTTTGGGCTGGGCAGACGTCCTGGTGCAGTGCGCAGCTCGCACTACCGTGCGGGGGGAACAACGTGCGTGCTTCCACTCTTTGGCAGCCCCGAACCCACAGACGCTCAGCGGCACGGAGTGCTACGTGTGTTTGGGGGTCCACCCCGAGGACTGCTCAGTGGAAAAATCCCGCCGGGTGCGGTGCCATCGGGACCAGAGCATCTGTTACCAGGGCAGTGGCCGAATGAACACCGGTGAGGAGCTGGGACGGTGGAAGCGCTGGGCAAGGGAGGTGGAGGTTGGTAAGACTCCAGACAGGCCCGACCGGGAGACCAGGGCCCTGGTCTCAGGGGGAGACCTGGGTCTAGTTTGAGAGGAGAGGCCTGGCCCTGGTGTCTAAGGTGGAAGCTCAGGCGCAGACGCCCCCTCGCTCTGACCCCTGCTCACTGCCCGGCCCAGGCAACTTCTCAGTCCCTGTGTACATCCGAACCTGCCACCGGCCCTCCTGTGTCGCCGTGGGCACCACCAGCCCCTGGACAGCCATCGACCTCCAGGGCTCCTGCTGTGAAGGCAACCTGTGCAATGGGGGCTCCCTGGACGTCCTCACAGCTGCGGCCCCCGCCCCACCCCGGGCACCCCACTCGCTGGCCCTGCTCCTCATGACTGCCCTGCTGGTCAGCGCTCTGGGGGCACCCCTGGGGCTCTCCGGGTAGAGGATGCTGGGCGGGTACCTGCACCTCCTGCTCACCGTGTCAGCCTGTCCTGGGCCACTGGAGAAGGTGGTGCAGACAAGAGGCGGCTCCTGTCCTCCTGGCCATGGTCCTCCCCGTCCCCCTCTCCTGCTTCCCCTCCCCCACCCTGCCTGCAGCTGGTCAGCGGGGCTGGAGGAAACGGCCCTGTCCCTGCCTCCAGGGAGGGGAGAGTCACCCACGCCCTGCCCACCTGAAAACCAGTCCAGATAACAGGTGGTATGCCAGGCACTGCGACACGGTCTCCTGGGCTCTCCCAGCCGCGGCTGTAGGACAGCCAGCGCGGTGTCTCTAGCAGCATCTCCCTGAGTGGCACAGAAAGCCGTTTCCTAACTGTGAGAAGCTGGGCTGCCTGGGTGGGAACCCGGCTCCGTCCTTCAGCCTGGGGGTGACCAGGAGCAAGGTGTTTAAACTCTCTGTGCCCCGTTTCCTCACCTGTCCGGTGGAGGTGAAAGTAAAGTCTGTGATGATGACGGACCTGTTTCCCGGTGGTTGTGGGGAGGACTTCGCGAGATCTGCTTGTAGCACCTGAGACACAGAAGTTGCCCAATAAGAGGGGTGGGGTACTGTCATCAGCCCATGTCACCGATGAGCAATCCGGGAGCCATGGCTGCGTGGCTGCAGCTCGCCTCTCTGGTGAGTGGAGGCCCAGGAGTCCCACCTCCAGCCCCAGGGTCCCCTAAGCAACCCCGCCTCCCAAACACGTGCACATTCAGTCATTTGGCAGATATATGGACAAAGCAGGCCTGGGGAGATGTGGGCAGATTTCCTGGAGGAAGAAAATCTTGAGCAAAAATCCTAAGGGATAACTAAGAGTTGGCAGAGGGAAGCAGGAGGAGGGGTATTCCAGCTGGAGGCCACAGCCTGGACAAAGGTTTGCAGGCAGGAACACAGGACACATGAGACACTGCCGTGCACGTCACACAAATGGAGACTGACAGCAGACCCTCTTGTGCACGTCTTACACTGTTCTTTCCCCGCTCATCCTTTCTCCAACAACCCACTGAAGCAAGCGCGAAAGGGAGTTGCATCTTGCTTTGGTCTGAATATTTGCCCATCCCCCATAGCAACCAGGAAGCAGAAAGGAAAGGGAGGAGCCGGGACAGACCCTTCCAGCCACACCCCGGTGACTCACCTCCAAGGAGGTTCCATCCCCTAACAGCACCTTCAGCTACTGAACTCATCCAGAGATGAGCATAGCATCCCGTGATCCGACCACCTTGGCTGACATGGCTTCCTTGTTAGCAGCAAGGCCATCCTGCCATGTTTTACTTCTTCAACATGCCCTGGCTTGTCCTTCCACTTTCTGCCATGAATTGAAGCAATGTGAGACCCTCATGGAGGCCAAGGATGCTGGCACTTCCAGCCACTAGAACCATGACCCAAAATAGACTTCTATACCTGATAAACTACCCAGTCTCGGGTATTCTGGTATAGCAACATAAAAGAGACTAAGGCAGTGGTCCTGCCTTTTCCCCACTATGGTGAACGTGGAACTTCTCAGAGATGCTCTTGGGTCCCAGACATGGTTCTCCTTGGCCCCACTGTGTGGCAGTCACCCATTTCCTCTTGAAAGCTAAGATCAGTCACCCCATAAAATAGAGTGATCTTCTTTTTCTGTTGATTCAGTGGCTTGGGGACCCCAAAATGACCAGATGGCAGCATCATCTTCCAATTCAGAGGAACCACTGCCGTGTCTCAGGATTCTTTCCTTGGGAACTGAGACCTCCATACCGGCAGAGCTCAAAATTGGGACAGGAAGCAAACTTTCTGCAAGGGGACATTAGGTGTAACCAGGAAGGAGCCCTTGCTACCCTCTAGGTACCCAGGGAGGGTGTGGAGGAGACAGCACTGAGTATTTGTCATTGACTCAGAGCAGTTGCTGCATCCTCTAAGGTGGAACCCCATCCTTTCAGGGTGTGGACTCAAAACCAGCAACAATAACTAAGTCATTCCATGGGTTTATCACATGAACTGCTTCAAGTGAGCCCCACGGGCATGAGCCCATTGCCACATCCACTCACTCTGTAGTGAGTTCCTTGCTCAGAAGACATTCTGCAGTCTTGGGGATGGATAGTGGGGGACAGTGGGAAGAAGAAGGAGAGCCCTTAATCCCCCAAGCTTCCATTTATGAACAAAGGACCACAGATCTTGGATGACAAGCTGAGTGATAGTACAGAAACATCCAGCTGATGAAACTTGGATTTATACACATTCCATCCCTATCTACCACTCGCGGATTGAGATCTTCCCTTGCTCCTGGCCACACAGTAGAAACTGAGGCCACAGAGGTGAGGATCTGGAGGAGCTCCCAGCATGAGGAGATGCAGTTCCACACTTGGATAGTTGCAAGTCTGCGCCGGAGGCTGAGCAGGAGCAAGAGTAGGCAGACGGGGAGAGAGACACGCCGAGGCTGGTGCCATAGGGAGGAGAGGCTGGCGACAGCTCTTAGGGCACGCCAGACAGACGGAGGGAACTAGCATTCCAGACAAAGGGACGAGCTTTTGTGGAAACAGAGATCCAGTGACAGAAGTAATCTTAGGGGGATCCAACAAACACACATCATTCATTCTGTGCTGGGTAACCCTGGAGAGCTCTGCCCTTGAAGAAGTCTTGACTGACAGCTGACATAGTGTAGGGTCCAGATGGCCACCGCCCCCAGAGCGTCTGACACAGTGAGCAAAGGAGGTGATTGGGCTGGAAGAGCCGGCAGGGGGAAGGGCCCGAGGTGGATGGAGTGGGGATGGTGTTCCAGGCAGAGGGACCGGCTTGTGCGGTGGCTAAAAGAACATGTCAGATGGCAAGGAGATAGCAGGGCAGAGGCAGAAACACCAAGCAGCACAGAGTAGAGAGCAAGGGTGGTGAACAAATCTTAACAACCTGCTCTTCCGGTGAGTCTGGAAACCCACAGTGAGTCAGACCCAGTCCCGCCCTCCTGGTCTGGAAAAAAGACAGTCGCAAACCTGGAGGCTCAAGGTTGGGAAAACGTGAAGTATGAGGGGCAAAGCGAATTCCAAAGGGGAGACCAGGGAGGGCTTCTGATGGGAATGGATCTCCAAGGAACAACCAAAACAAGTGGAAACCAGCAGAAAGCGGAGGAAAGGAGTTCCAGGCAGGAGGAATTTGCACAAAGACTCGGGATGTGTGTAAAGGTGAGAGAGAGGAGAAGGAAAAGGGTAGCAGGGCCCCCTCAGGGCCTAGAATGTCACATGTGCTGTCCCCTGCAGCCAGCGGGGAGACATGGGAGGACTGAGAGAAGGAGGTGCTGATGACAGCCAGGTGGGACTGGAGTGGAGAGGCTGGGGGGGGAGGCTGGCGACGGGGGTCTCTCACTCCTGGTCTCCACGGCCAGTGGACGCTCAGTGTTAAAAGGCTGGAGGCAGAAGGATGGATGGGTTAGGAAGAGCTTGTCTTGGTTACTTTTCTCTCGTTGCTGGGACAAAATATCCAATGCCCAAAATTTAGGAAGGCAAGGTTTATTTAGCTCACAGTTTGTGGAGGTTTCAGTCCATACTCAGCTGGCTACAAGGCAGGGTGGCAGAGGGCAACCATTCAAGGCGGCGCAACACAGCAAAAGCAACAAGCACACAAGGGAGGACTGGTGGCAAGCAGCCTCTTCCTCTCCCTCACATATGCAAACTATCCACCCCAGGGCGGGTGTAGCTCTCACACCCATAATCAATCAAACTCTAAAAGCCTGCCCCATGACTGCATGAGGCTTTGGGGGGACACCCAGGCACAAACCATAACAGAGCTCCTGTGTGAGGTTAGTGGGGAGGGGACCTGATCCCAAAGAGGGACACAGGACAATATTCCTTTGCAGTGTGCCTTATGACTCCATGGAGACTCACTATAATTTGTCCAAAATTTACCTTGACATTTTATGGGTTTTTTGCACCTATTACTATTCCATTCTTTTGTTGTTGTCATTGTTTTTGTTTTGTTTTGTCTTTTTGAGACAGGGTCTTGCTATGCAGTTCAGGCTGGCCTTGAGCTCACTTTGTAGCCCAGGCTGGTCTCTAACTTGCAATGATCCTCCTGCCTCAGCCTCGCCAGTGCTGGGATTACAGGAGTGTGCCACCACACCCAGCCTCCATATTCCATTTTTTAAAAATGTCAGAAGCAAAGTCAGTGCTAGAGGTCAGGCCTTTGGACTTCTGCATTTTGGCTTTTGTATTTTTTCTGGTGGTGATGCCATTGGGAACTGAAGTCAGAGTCTTAGGCATGCTAGACAAGTGCTCTATGATTGAACTCCAGCCCTTGTTATTTTATTTTGAGATAAGGCCTCACTAAGTTACTCAGGCCTGTCTTGAACTTGTGATCCTCTTGCCTCAGCTCCCCACCAGCTGGAATTACAGAGTGCAACACCATGCCTAGCTAGTATTTGGCCTTTTAACTTTGGTGACAAATATGAGAACACTAGTTTTCCCCCGTGTATTACTTGGGAAGGGGTACAAGAGAATGTGTCGGTATTGGGTGTGGTGGTGCACACCTGTAATCCCAGCACTCAGGAGGCTGAGGCAGGAAGACTGCAGCCAGTTTGAGGCCAGCCTATGATATATAGTGAGTTCAAGGCCAGCCTGAACTACATAGTGAGACCCTATCTCAAAAAATGAGAGAGAGAGCAAAAGAGACACACAGAGAGAGAGAGAGAGAGAAGGAGGAGGGAGAGGGTGAAGGAGAGGGAGAGAGAATGAGAGTGTGTTGAAGAGGGAGATAGCTTGATTGAAGGGGTGGTTACATATGTCCATGAATAGGCAGAACTGCACCAATCTTCACACTTAAGATTTTGGAGCCAGAGAGACAGCTTAGCAGCACAGCACCTGCCTGGCAAGTGCAAGGTCCTGAGTTCAATTCCTGGTACCAAAAATTCAACAGGAGAAAAAAATTAAATACAACCATAATTAATCACATCATGTCTGGGATTTGCATTAAAATAACACAGGAAGTAGGTAGAGCCATAGATACAATGCATTTGAGGCTGGGTGTGATGGCGCGTGCCTGTAATCACAACACTCCAGAGTGCTGAGACAGAGAGATAGAGATGGATCGAAAGTTTGAGCCCAGCCCGGGCAATTTAGCAACTTAGTGAAACCTTATTTCAAAATAAAAATTAAAATAACAGGACTTGGATGTAGTTCAGTGCAAAGGTCCTAGGTTCCATTCTTAGTGCTGGGGGAAAAAAACAAAAGCAACTGAGGGGCTTCGTGGAGCACTTGCCTAGCATGTCCAAGGCCCTGAGTTCAACTCCTAGGATTGAAAAGAAAGTTATTTATTAGGTAGACATGGTGCCACATACCTGTAGTCCCTGTTCCTTGGAAGTCTGAGGCAGGTGAATCACTAGAGTCTGGGAGTTCAAAGCCACTCTCCACAACATGGCCAGACCCATTTCAGGTCCAGAAGATTAACGAATAGATAAATCAAATGCAACTGAACCCACAGCGACCCATCCACCCCCTCCCTGGTGCACTCAGA